TACCACATGACTATTTTAATCTCCTTATTGTTCTACTCTCTAACTTGGCTTTTGGAAAATGGAAATAAATTATGTCAATCTGTTCTCTTTTATGTTCCATTTGTGATTTGCTCAAAAATTATAATATATTGGCAATAAAAAAATTGTGTACAGAAAAATGTTGTAGGCCCTTATCACATCATGTCTTTTAATACGTGCACTAAAGAAAACTCTAAGAATAGTTATCTTAAACAATTGCTTCTGCTGATTTAACTACCAGAAGAGCAGGATTAACTGACTTATGATTCCAAATTTACTTTATGACTTTTTGGAAGAAAAAATGATGAATGCAGTCAGTGGTTGGAGTCAGGGTAGCAGTAGGTAATGTAACTGGCTGACCTGATAACAGCACATTCTGGAAAAGTCAGACATAGTAAACTTATTTCAGTGCTACATTAGACGTAGAGCTTTTGTTGCTTCTTAATATGCCACTTCTCACCATGAAGGCCCATTTATTTCAGGATCTATTATTTCATGAATGACGGGAATGGGAGCTCAGAGCAAGAAGCTCCCCTTTGATGGAGCAACAAGATGTCTTTTCAAACAGACAACAGCAGCCAGAGCAGTAACTATAAAATTTCAGTTTTATTTTAATTCAGTGGCAATGCATCCCTTAGGTGCTATACTACAATCAGAGACCATTATAAACGGCACCGCAAATAGGCTTATGTCATGTAATCTTACATTATGCATAAAGAAAGAAACCTGTAGATTTTAACATGGATACTCAGAAGAGTCAACTGTGGAAGAACTATGGTAAATAAAATCCTAAATCAAACATAAGTACCATGAATCCTAAATGCTCATCATGGTGTCAGATAACTCTAACTCCTGTTCTTTATCAAGTCCATCACAAAGCTCTTGAAGCCACACAGATTTCTTTCATTTTGGTACCTTTAAAATCACAATTAATGTCACAATAGTTTTAGTTTTGGTTAAGTTTTTGTATTTTAGGGGAAAACTAATTGACTGAAGAGTCAAATAAGAGCTTGTGCCTTTACTGTGGGACTGTTTTCTAATAAACACTGATGCCTAGCAAACTGAACTTTTGAAACTAAACATTATTTTATAGTTTGTCTATGAAGCTCTAAGCAGTGCCAAGATAACTCTACAAATGCTGAAGTCTTTTTTTAGCATGTTATAAATTAATTCAGCTCAGCATTAACAACAAGCATGAAACATTTTAGCTTCAGTGGCAATTTTTTGGAAAAAGTTGTACAACGACTGGCAACAGAGGTTTCGAATGAAAATGCCATCTCAACCATAAGTATAGCATTGCTAGTGTCATGCTATAAAGGAGATCCTGTTCAGCTACATACCTTCTGTATTTTACAACCTTTCCATGCACCAGGGGATCAGTCATTAAAAAGCCACTTCAGAAATAAAATAAAGCCCTTCTTCTCCGCCTGTGACAAGTTTCCATCAAGTGAAAACCTAACACTAATGCCTCGACAGCAGGCTGTTTATTGCCTGTTCCAGATAGTTTAAATGCGGGCTCTGAATAGGGTGGGGGAAACGAAGACACGCAACAGGCTTCAGGAGAAGAAAGACTTGATTTGGGTGGCTTGAAAACTTCCTCTCTGCCCTTCCACCTAAAGGTAAGGCAGACCTCCAACGAGATTCCTTCTCTACCCCTCAAGGGTATTTTAATTCTATTCTCTCAGCCACAACCCACTGCACTATAAAAAAACAAAACAAACTATGGTAGATCAAGTCTGCCAAAAGAAAATGGTTAAAATGCTTACTCCTCAGAAGCAAGTTACATTTTGAATTATATGGGTAGTCCAGCTAGATACATATTTTTCAGAAAAGAAAATAAGTAAACAATTTTTTGGTGGGGGAATGTAGGAGTTAATTTCTTAGGTCAGTTTATTATTCCAAGTTCAGTTTTCCTCTATAGGGTGAATATATTTTAGAAAATAATCAAGATTGGTTAGAGAACTGACCTTTTCAGGAGGGAAAACAGTTTCACAATAGTCTCTTACTTCCGCTACTAAAAATTCATTATAATTTTATTTCTTCAAAATATGTTAAGTGGCAATATGATAATATTTCTCTCAAAGAATGACACATTATTCTGTATAACCAAAATGAAAAACACTTAGAACGCATAAGAAACTCACCTTTAGTGAGACTTCCTGAGCACTCTGTCCATTTAACATTCATAGGACTTTTCTTTTTCCTGCCTAATGCACTAAATGCCCACAAGTACTCAAGACTGGATCACTATAGTGTGCTTTTTAGGGACATATGGAGACCCCAAATGCATGTAAGCATTTCATAACTGCAAAAGCAAAAAGTGCCATGCTGGGAAGAAACCACCAGCAGTCAAGGG